TTGTCCGCAGGCGCACTCGATTCTTTGGAAAACCTAGAAAAAAAGATCTAAAGAAAGGGTCATCAAAGATGCAGCAGCAATCAACGGAGCTAGTCAGCGGGTGGCCGAGCCAACTCTCTCTCTCTCTCTCGTCGCTCCTATCTGTCTACATACATACGTGTGTAAAGAGCAGAGACGGGGGGGTCGAGAGAAGAAGGAGGATTGCCATGCGAATTCTTTGAATGTCTAAATCAAGCCTCCTCGTAGTCGAGGAACATTGGCTTGGGAGTGTGTGTATACCCACTCTGCCGGCTGTAGAGGGGTTGACAGCAACTCGTTGCACGGAAGTGGCAGAAAAATTAAGAGCCCGAGAGGACGGGGCGTGGGCGAGGATTGAAAGCTCACGTGGATATTTCATTTTAAATCATTATGCTGTGCGCAGATTGGAAACACACGTATCGCATTGTGTTAAAAAAAAAAGGCCGCTCCATTAACTTGTATCATCCCGTTGACAGATGGGCAGAAAGGAAGGAACACCTGCTTCGTTGTTTGATCCTCTGAAAATTCCGGACGAGCTTTCGCGCGTCACAAAGAGCCAAGCGACGCGATCGAAGAGTATTATCTATTGGTACCTCGACGTAAAGCCATTCCCCTGCAAACTCACGCACACCCGGAATACGATGGATGCTGTAGCCAACAGCCAATCGATGCAGGAATCCGCGTACAGGACAATGGGGACTATACCGAAAAATAGTCGCTGTACATAATGAAGCCCCCCTACTGGGCGCGCCCCCTTCTTTTCGCACATAATCGGTGCGCTGTAGGAAGAAAGGGACATCAAAGTGGTTTTCTCCTTCCCCCTGTTCTTATCTCTTTTTTTTTTTTTTTTTTTTTTTCTTTTTTTTCCAATGCCAATGATCCGATGGATGTCCAAACGAAAAAAAAAAAAAAAAAAAAAGGCTTTGCTAGAGTGCTCGCACGAGGGTATCCTGACGAACGAGCTGATCGGCACGAGCTCGGGCCTCAGCCAGGCCAAGCGCAGCCAGGCGACCGGCGCCCACCTGCTCTACCTCGCGGTCGAGCAGAGCCGTGACGTCGTCCACGTGACCAACGACCGTCACGTCATCCTCGTAAGTGTATACGCAACAGTGCCCAACGACGTTGTGTCCACCCCAAATTGTCTTACTTATTTGGTCTCTTTCAAGTTCGCCAACTCGGCTAGCGAGCGCAGCTTCGGCTACCGGCCGGACGAGCTGTTGGGCCGGAGTCTCGAGGAATTCGTCGCCGGCGACAACTTTGCGCTCATCGACCATCACCTGCAGCGGTCCAAGGAGTTCGAAGGCCCCGTCGCCTGGAGAAAGAGGAACCGCACCGTCGTCCACGTCGCCTGCAGGATCGTACTCGTCACCCCGAACAGGTGAGCCTTACGACCCTCCCCCACGTACGTGGTTGTACTTACTCCCTTTTGTTTGTTCCTCTAAATTCAGGGACAAAGGCGTGGTTTACCACGTGTGCTTCTACGAGGCACCGGCCGCGGTCGAGTCGATATCCTCGAGGACGAGCTTCGAGCACTACTCGCCGAGGGGCAGCCTACAATCGTCGATCGGCGGCAGACAGTCCCTGGAGTTGCACACCTGGAGCAGTACGTCTCACGTTTCTTGTTTCGATCTGTCTTTGATTTTTTTTTTTTTTTTTCACATAGAAACGAGACGGTCCACGGCGACGATCGCGAAACTGCACAATTTGCCGCTCGAGTCGCCGATCACCAAGGTCGTGGCCGTGCTGACGAGCGCCCTCGCCGACTCCGAGAGCCCAGAAGTCAGGGAGCAGATAGACACGGTTAGATCGGTTCTTTTTTCTTCGATCCATATGCTTTGGGCCATGGGTCTTGTAAATATGTGGTGAATTTTACTAGGCTATAGAGATACTGAAGAAGGCCGAGCTGTACTCGCCTCGGCTGCGCGACGGCGATCCTCTGCCCGTCTCCGACCCAGTGACGGCCGACCTGCTCGGAGCTCTGATATCCGTTAGTTCGTTACGAGCATGCGATCCTTTTTTTCTTTTTTTTCTTTTTTTTCTTTTTTTTTTGTTCGGTCTCTAATACAAATTTGGTGGCAGGTGACGACCAATGATCCCCGGCAATCGGTAGCTCTGGCCTCGGCTCGGCAGACGCAGCTCCTCAAGATCCTGAACTCGAGCCAGAACCCGACGAGGGCCAAGGTGTCTTTCAGTCCACAAGCTTCGCAGGAGCTCGAGGCTCTGTTGGAGACCGGTTTCGAGTGGGGCTTCGACATCTTCAAGCTGGAGACCCTCACGGGTAAAAGGTACGAAGTTGTGGATGTAGGTGGGTTTGTCGATTTGGTTTGTTCCGTACCGATATCTCGTGTGTTGAAAGGCCACTGTTCTACCTGGGCATGTCGCTGATGAGCCAGTTCAAGGTGGCCGAGAGGCTGGAGTGCGACGAGCGCGTCCTGCAGAATTGGCTGACCATCGTCGAGGCCAACTACAACAGCCAAGTGAGCTACCACAACTCGACCCACGCGACCGACGTACTCCAGGCGATAGCGCGCTTCATGAGGTCCGAGAGGCTCAGGGCGATCCTCGACCCGCTCGACGAGGTTGCCGCCCTCCTCGCCGCCGCCGCCCACGACATCGGTCACCCTGGGAAATCGAGGTTCCGCATTTCAAGGGGGCTCTCCTTCCCCTCCTTTATACCTCTCTCACGCTATGGTTTCGTGTTCGCAGTCAATTTTTGTGCAACGCCAGCGACCACTTGGCCATACTCTACAATGACCTCACCGTTCTCGAGTCCCACCACTCGGCCCTCACGTTCAAGCTCACCCTGTCCGACGACAAAGTCAACGTACTCAAGGTCGGCTGCTTACTTGACATTTTTTTTTTTTTTTTTTTTTCATACGATTAAAACAACAACAACAACAACAAAATGTTGATACCGATTATTGCAGAATCTAAACAGGGAAGTGTACAAGTTCATGCGGCAGAACGTCATCGACATGATCCTGGCGACCGAGATGACCAAGCACTTTGAGCATCTGGCCAAGTTCGTCAACGTCTGCAGCAACCGGATCGGCGACCACGCGGAGGTGAAAAAAAAAAAAAGACAATGTCACACTTACCGATCGATCGATGGGGGGAACAAGAAAATCGCGACGCGCTCGTGTATACGGGGGATCGCTTGAAATCGCGCCATACAGTTAAGAGCGAGAGTTGCCAAAGCGCTGGCTCTCTTGGCGCACGTGTCGCAAGATAGTGTATACCCATACGCGCCGGTGGGGGGAGACCGCACTCGTGACCCTCTATGTGGATGCACTTTGACATCGCGTTGGGAAACGAGGGAGCGTCGCCGCACCGATGGGTGCAGGGAATGACGTTTCTGTGTATAGACGGATAGGTCTGATCGATTGAGGTATAAATGTATAAGTGAAATCACCGAGGGTAACTTACGCGGATGACGAGCGATATTCCTTTTACTACGTGTACCGATTACTTTCTTCCACTGGATTTCCAGAGTCTGGACGTCGACTCCGACTCGGTGGCGTCGATTTTCCTGCTTCCGGAAAACGTGACTATGGCGAAGCGCATGATGATCAAGTGCGCCGACGTCTCGAATCCCACGCGGCCGATGAGGCTTTACGTCGAGTGGACGAGGCGCATTGCCGAGGAGTACTTCGATCAGGTATACAATACGGGGTATTATTATACATGCACATCCGACCCAAAAACTACTGCTGCTGTTGGCTCTTTCCTATATACTGTGCGGATTATTACAGCTCGAGGTTTCACTTTTACCGGGCATAAAGGCTTTTACTTTCGAGGCTTACCTTTTGCCGGTAGCCGGTGTGCAACTGCTTGGATTGTTTCATTTTTCTTTTTTCTTTTCTTTTTTTTTTTTTTTTTTTCATCCCACAGACCGACGAGGAGAAGAAGCGGATGATGCCCGTAGTCATGCCGATGTTCGACAGAATCAGCTGTTCCATACCGAAATCGCAGATCGGCTTTGTGGATTACATCATCAACGACATGATGGAGGCGTGGGACGGTGAGCGCGTTTTCTCTTTGGTTTTATTTTTTATTATTATTATTATTTTTTTTTTTTTCATTGTTTCACTCGTTATTTAGCGTTCATCGATATGCCCGAGATGATTGGAAATATGCGACTGAACTATGACAAGTGGAAAAAATTTGACGTAAGTGTGTCTCTTGGATGATAAAGTAAATAACAACCGGTCTTTGATTTTTCGTTTTTTTTTTTTTTTTTTTTTTTTTTTAGGAGCAGGGAGTCACAACGTTGGATGACATCAAAAAGGTCCAACAGAACCCAGAGTACCAACTCTACGGGAGATCTTCCTCGAGTTAACTACATGCGACAAAGTCGAGGATAACAATGTATAAAACTGTACTGACTTTGTAAATATTTTTTCAGTACCTCACAATGTTGATCAAATATATTTTTTTCACTAGCCGTTTCTAAGTTTTTCATGAGTACCATTTTCAAGAGAAAAAAAAAGCTCACTCTGAACCCTTGCTTTGCTAGCTCGTTGAGATAGCCCATTGGGGTATGAACACACTTAAGACTGTTACCCATGTTTATTCCAACGCTTTATTTTGTACATGAAAATAAATGCTTTTCAAGCGACTAGCTGCAAGAGCTTTGAAATTCATGAATTAAGCACCGTAAATACGGACAGCCCAGTTTTCATCATCTTGAAATGGCAAAAAAAAAAAAAAAAAAAAGTAGATTAATTGATTCGTAAAAAATGATAGTAGAGTTGTAGTACATGCGAGTCTCAAGCTTACGTTGCAGTAGGTATCCATGCTTAGAGTAAACATCTTTCCTCCGGTTAACTCGCAACGTCTCAAACTCCTGATCATGACGATCTTTACCAAACTGTTGGTCTTTAGCGACAAGTTGTACCATTTGCAGGCGTAACTGAAACATAAACGTATATACACATGTACGTCATTTTCTTTCACAAATGCCAGTTGTATTGATAAAAACACGAGTCGAGTGTCACCAAGTTTCAAACACTTCTTCGCTGCTGTCGATGATTTTTTGTCCCGGAAGGAAAACGTAGTAAAAGTGTATAAGAATGGCACACATCACGGCCAAATACCGGAACATTTCGATAGGCTGATCCAACTTCATGACGGTCTGCAAAAAGAACGTTCATGTAATATACGTATTGATTGCGATTGGGTTCGTAATTTCGCCGATGAATCGGTTCACCGTGGCCAATCCACCCCCCAGCATGACCATGTTTTGGAACAGCACCCCCAGCCAAGAGAAGTTGTACGATTCTTCGATGAGGTCGATGTACCTGCAGTGAAGTTCAATCATCAACTGAAACCCTTGCATTTTTCGACATTGGCGTACAATTGTTGTTGTTTTTTCTTTTTCACGTACTTCATCACCGTTGTGTGCAACTCAATGGCACTCACTGTCAAATGATAAGACAAACGATCGGCCTCCTCGCGAGGGACGAAACCATCTTCAATTTTCTCCGACAGTGCAGCTACTTTGTTGAAACGGTGGCTGCGTGGAACAACAACTGTTCATACATTTCAAGGACATTGCAGATGCTTACAATGGCCAGGACGACAATTTGTGTATTACATGTATGGTAAGGAATAATAAAAGATGCAAAGGTTTTCGTGCTTGAGATTATAAAAAAAAGGTGTTCGGCGTGGGCGTACTTGACAAGAGCAAACAGTCCAATGACGTGCTGGACTATCAGTATGAAGCAGAGGTCGAACGACACGAGGACGACAACGGTACCGATGCCACCGAAAACGGCTTGTCCGAGCAGGGGATAATAGTGCTCTTGGATGTCGATGCCGTACTCGGCGTAGTAGGGCAAATTCCTCAGCCGAGTGCCGTTTTCCAGGGGCACGATGACATCCAGTATCGGACTGGACACGGGAAAGGTCAGGAATATCGCGACCGACGCTATCATGAAGCCTGTGGGGGCGGGGGGAAACAAAAATTCTCGAGACAATATGCTAGCCGTGTGCGTTGAATTTTTTTTTTTTTTTTTTTTTTTTTTTTCCCACTCCTTACTCGAATACAGCATTACACTCTGGCGACCGAGTTCGGTGTAGTGGTGCATGATCTTCAAATCCTCCGGGTCGAGGAACTTTTCTTTCCAATCTCGGGCTATGTCCGACAGTAGGATCATCAGCTGTAACACCGAGATGGGCCATAAATGAACGCTCATGTCGTTGTAAATAAAATTGAAAAATATTTTTTTGTTTTTGCAAAAAAAAACGTACTCTCTTTCTAACAATGATGCTCATGGTGATTTTGAAAAATATGATACTCAGGTACAACTCGCCGATGAAATTTTCCACGACAATGTTCAAGTTTACGCCAATTTCGTTGTAGAGTCTGATACCCTGCGGAGACAATGGATTCGTGCAATGACGTGTACAATTGTTTTTTTTTCCATACTTTTACGATAAAGATCCTCACCATCGATATGCTGAACGATATAGTGAACGAGTAGACGTACACCAGAGACACGTATCTTTTCCATTTGGTTTGAAAAACCCAGATTCCAACGAACTTTTGCAAGAATATCGTTACTTTCCAGTAATCGCTCTCAAACAGTTCCATGCGTTGAATTGCAATTGACGATGCCTCTGTCGATTTTGTTTGAGCTATCAGGAACTCGTGTGTACTTACGTTCGCCCGTTAAACGTACCCCGTGACTATTCACAATGCGACTAAAACATTCTCGATGCCGCAAAATTATCCGTTAAACCCTTTTAGCGTGTATGTTACATACATACACGTACGATACACCGGCAATCGCGACGAGCGCAACAATCACGAGATTACGTATTCACGCGGTTGTAATTACCCACCGGGTGTTATAGGGCGGCGTGTTCCACGCGAGAGGAAGGGGGAGAGCTCGGTTATTAAAGGGGTTGCTTGTCGCGCGTTGCGGTGAGTACAAAATCGTCGACGATTTGCATATTGAATCGATCGTGTTTCAGTGATGGATATTTTTTTTCCCAACAGCCGTGTTATTAATAGTCGAATCGACGCTGCTTTGCGAAGAAATTATTTAATTGTCGACTCCATTGTTATCATTGTTATACGTATACGTATACGACGGCAGAAATGAGTTGGATGCACAATTCATATCGACTCTTCTTATACTTAGAGTGAAAAAGAGAACATGTTAATTTAACACAACACATGTAAAGTATATATTTCATGTATACATGCATTGACACAATACACGTTATCATATTATTATATACAGAAATTTGTAGTATTATACTTTTGAATATTTTTTGTATAAATTTTTGTTTTTCTCAACAACAAAACAAACGAATGTGTATATTCATCCGAATGAAGAAAAAATCGAGATGTATATGTGTATATGTACGGATACAATTGAAGTATCGTACTTATTATATATGCCTTTACTTAATTTAAAAACAATAATGGTATATTCCATACTTAACTTTAATTATTCCGACATATCGTTTTATACGCACTCCAATGTACCAACCATTAACCTCGATGAGTTTGAAAAAAGCGGCAGTTGTATGGTTTCACGTACACAGCCAAAAGCAACTTAAAACTTTTTTTTACCCTTAATTCAAAAGTGGCATTAAATAAAAAGTGATCTCTCGCGTGTAGGTGCGCATACGAAGGCATTTGCTGCATCAAAACGATCTCATTTACAATATCTCGCAGGAAAATCGCGATCGCGCACTCGTGTTGGCTGTCGGTTGGCACAAAAATAAGTACACGCGTGTAACGGCCCGTACTATTGTCATCCTACGCGAACATCATATTTTTTCCCTTCGAGTTTTCGACGCGCTTGGGTGCGTGACGAAGGATCGGCATTATTCCTCGCGTGTGCAGATGGAACGGACAAAAAAAGGTGTTTCGTCGAGCGAGGGAATATTGCCATGGGCGTAATTAGAGAGAGTCGGAGGAAAGGCATTTTTGTCATCGCTAGACCCACGGATATAGAAAGAGACACGTGTACCTACAATGGAGATGTGCCAAGAGTCATATGTGTATACACAGAGAGAACGAAAGGAGGACGTTTGTGTTTTCGAGTATGTGAATCGGCATCTGCTCTACTTCTCGTCCTCGTAACTGAGTCCAACTTTATTCAGATCGGCGATGGCCCTCTTTTCACGGTTGATTTTTTCTCCAACAACTCTTTTTGAGGGACAACCCTAAGTATATAATGGACTAATTATCCGTCAAATCGATAATAGTACGAGTTTAGGAGAAGAAATTAGCAGTGTGCATTGACGGGCGCCGGTTTCGTCCAACCGCTTGAAGCATGTGAAAAACTGTATAGTGTAGATGTATAAGTACATGTGCTTTAATTAACGCAAAAATCGTTATAGATGATTATACCTTGCAAAAAATAAATAATAAAACAACTTTATGCAATTTCCAAGCAAAAACGCGTTACGTGAGAGAAATAATAATGTGGGTATACCGATGTCGAGTTACAGGGGTCCGTTAAAAATCGGTTCTTCTTCTTGGCTTCCGCCTGCGCATCCGTTACATTATTATTACGTTGTTAAAACACCATACATACGTATAATATATGTAAGAGTTGCTCAATTAACCAAGATAATTAAGATAATACAAGCGAGTAAACATTAATTGGTATCGCGTAAAAAAAAACTATAGAGGTACGTTGAATTTCCCTTCGCGTGTATTTATCTAGGTATCGCTAATCCATACGGCAATACCTTCAGAAACTAATAAGGTGTTTTTATTTTCTTTCCCGCGCAGCCCTTCTCGAGTGGCAGCTGAAACGGTGGTATAGTCCTGGACTCGACTTTCACCCAATTTCGCATGCACGAAGCCTATAAGCCATCAGCCTCAAAAGATTTCTTCCTCCAGTTGGTGCAGGTCGTTGTCGTGCGGTTAATGCACTCACTTAATGTATTTAATGTACTTATGAGCTTGCAATGGAAGTGATCGAGGGTGTATGATGTGCTCTCGCGGAAGGACAAATTGAAAAGTGCATTTTTATAGATATACAAATAAAATTTGTTTCAATTGAAATTCGCACTAAAAATAAAAGATGAGAATTAGTGGTTTGATAAGTCTAAGTATCTAGATCATAAAAAAATTAATGCACAATAGTTGAATTTAGGGCATTCAAAGTAAAAAATTTGAATTGGAGGAGAATTTTATAAATAATGATCAAATTTTCCATCATGTAGATTCATCATATTTTATTGCTTAAAGTACAATTAGTTTTTTTTACTTGTATAAGATTGTAAAATTTGTTTATGTAGCGCATTGCATAATTTATCAACGCTTTTATTGAAAAGAAAAAAAACAAACAAACTAAAATTACAGTACAAACAATAATCTGTAAGTTTGAAAGAAAAAAAAAAATATGCTAATAGTTCGATAATGAAAAATTTCTTAAGGATTAAAATTAATTTTATTATATAATGCTTTTTTCGTTCATTAACATTTCCATGAACATGCACTTATAATATTATTTACATAGAAATTACAAAAAATATTAAATACGTATTTCAATATTTAGCAATACTTATGTATTTTACATTAAAAAACACAAGGGCATTTGGAAAACGATAAACTAAATTCATACATCCTTCCGCGATTAAGTTTTTAATCAACCAATTTACTTTAAATTATTATATTTTCAGTCGAAAAAAATAATTTACTTTACCTAGAAACGCAAGCAATTGTTAGGTACTCGCATATTAATTAAACTGGATACTGCTGTGCTTCCCTTGAAGATCGCAAATCACAAGTTATTTTGAGGAGAAAATTACTTAATTAATATGTAAAAGTGCATTAATATTTTTGCATACTGTGTTTATTACGAAATACCCTGCAAAATCGTTATGTCTTCGCTCTCCTCCTCCTCCTCTTCTTCTTCTTCATCCTCCTAGAATATAAATTGACAACGGCTTACATGACTATAACTATACTTTATTGGTATGAATGTGAAAACATTGCTATTATTGAGAAACATTTACCTCATCAAACCCAAAGCATGTTTCCATGTCCTTTTGAAGTTTAGAATTATTTGAATTCTTTTTCGGTGGATCTACAAGTTTTAATGTCCCAACGATTCCTCCATCATCATCTTGTTCTAATAATTCATCACCAGCCTCGGTAACAATACCACTTTCTTGGCTTAGTGGATCTTGCACCATCAGGTCACCATCTTCACTAGCCACAACAGCCATCTAAGAAGAAACAACACATAGTTAACAACCCAATATTTTTAACATATCGCTTATAATATAAATTTTTACCTGATCAGATGCTTGATTGTCTGGCAGTTGAATAACTTCCAAAACAACGTACTGCTGGCCATCAGCTCCCTCCACCGCCATCATGTCCTCACCTTCGTCTTCCTCTTCTGAATCGTCAGCATAACCTTTAAGTTTAGAAGCTATATCACCTGTTTATTTAAATTACACACAACACATTAGTCAATGATCTCAATTGTAGTGTAGATCAAATCGTAAGCGCTCTGTAATCATCTTATTATTGCTTAATGTAAACATACTTCTAACATTGATACATTAAGGTAAGGAGAAGGTGATACACATAATAATATACCTGTCATCACTTCCACTCTTTGACCATCGATGATTTGAATTTTCTTTTGCCTTCCCAACTTGAGAGCTTGCTGTTTCTCCTGCACAGAGGAATCTGGATCATGGACAGCCATGTGTCGAATAAGATTCCCTTTATGCCTGTAAATAAGAAAGTTGTTAATTTACATTATCTTTCAGATCTTTAGTTTATAGATGCAATTTTTATACCTGAACTGTTTCTGACACTCGGGGCATTGATGAGTCTTTTCTTGGGGAGGTGGTGGTACATACGCCGGATTATGATATAAATTGCAGTGTCTCTTCAACAGTTGCTTTTGCCTGAATGATTGGTAGCAGTGATCGCACTGATATGGCTTTTGGTCCGTATGAATGAGCATATGGCTCTCTAAATGGCGAGCTGATATCGACGCATAAGGGCAAAGATCACACCTATAGCATTTTTCGCCTTCGTGAGTTTTACTGTGCAGTTTGTAACTGTACCTGGAAATACAAAATTACAATCATTTAATAACTTTCACGTAACAATCAAGTTTAAAGTATATTCCAACAGAGGCTTACCTATCTGGGAATGTTTTACCGCATCTTTTACACTTTAAAGGCTTATCAGAAGTGTGAAGTTTTTGTACATGAATCCTGAGATCCGTTTTTCTGCCACACGTCGTTGGACAAAGTTCACATTGGAATATTGGTTTATCTCCAACTGCAAATACATGATCAAGTGTTTATCCACGTACAAGAAGAAACCAACTTTTGATACCAAATAAAACTTTTCGGTTGAAATAATTTTGAGATACGAACCATTGTGGACAAGCTTATGAGCCTTTAAACTGTTGGACTGCGTAAATCTTGCATTGCAAATATCACATTCATATGGCTTCTCACCAGTGTGAATACGCAAGTGGCGCTTTAATTTAAACGTATCCGGACTTGCGTATGTACAATGAGGACACTAAAATTAATAGTGAACAATAATTATAATAAGTTACATTGCTTTTTTGTAAGTAACAAGACAACTAACCTGATATGGTCTTTCTCCTGTGTGACACCTAATGTGTCTTTTCAGTTTAGACAGCTCAACAGAAGCATAATCACAATCTGGACACCTATGCGGTTTTTCGTGAGTGTGTCTGTACCTGACATGTCTCACAAGTTCACCTGTATAAACAAACGCAGGTATTTCTAAATAAAACGCCCAAAACAAATGAAAAAGAGACAATAAGGTACAATTTGAAATAATTTTTATCAAACCTGACGTGGTGAAAGCACTGTCACAGAATTTGCAGTGATGCGGTTTGGTCCCTGTGTGGGTGTTGACGTGATTCTGCAACGACGCAAGCGTCTTAAATCCTCTCTCACAAACGCTACACTTGTGCGGCCTTTCCTCAGAGTGCGACTTCATATGCCGTGACAGCAAGTAACGCTTCGGACTCGTGTAATTGCAGTAATTGCACATGTGAGCTTGGGTGACGGTTTGCGACTTTTTCGGTACATATTTGACAATCTTGGCCTTGTCGTCTTCCGCCTCTGACTCAACAGCACATTCATTATCTTCATTATCTTCAAAGTCGTACACTGTGAGATCCTGATCACCTTCCTCACCATCAATGCCAGCTTCATTTTCAGTTTTGTTTTCTTGTTTTGTTTCATTTTCTGGTTGCTGAACTATTAAAACGTAGCTTACTTCACCAGAATTGGTTTCCGATGGCATTATCGTCACTGTTTGATACTGCTCGTTTGAATTGGCAGGCTGAGAGCGGTTGCTACTGCCCTCTGCTGCTGTTGATGGTACCTACATTTAAAAACAAAAGATTAAATATGTATGAAAAAATTATCACGGTATTATCACACAGTACGCGAGAGCAAATAGTTACAGCATTTCCTTCTCCATCTTCAATTGGATTAACCTCTTCAAATTCTTGGTTATCACCTGAAGATTCTTCATTGTTTTCATCACCTTCGTTCACCTCCTGAATTTGGACTTGCGTCAAGACAGGATGATCCTCTCCGCTGGCCTGATAATAATATTGACCAGTTTGATCAACAAAATATGTTCCTCCATCATCTGTTGTAAGTCCTTCTACTTGTTGCACTGAAAATACATTTGAAATAAGAAATTTGTTGCAACAAAGTTTTCACGATTCTTGGTAGTTTAATCTTATAAATTACAACTAACATTGAACATGCTGTATCTGTTCTCCTTGACCACCTTCTATTTCCTTGTTGAAGGTCTCCAAGTACGTCTGAATTTCAGTAACAGACTCCTGTGGAGCACCTTCCACTTTAATAGTTGTTATGTCTTGCGACATTGTCACATCAATGTGCCGTGATTTGCCCGGTTTTATGCTGGAAATAACCCAATTTTTTTGTAAATTAATTTTCATTCCAAAGTATTTTCTTTTATAACTGATGCTAAGATATGTCTTGTATAAATACTCAAGAATAATGCTAAAACTTATTGTAACAACATCTATTGCAAACCTTCTACTTGGAACTCAATCTTTTCACGAGTGGGTACAACACTCCCAAGACCCTGTCCAACCGATACCTCGTCACCTAGAGTTTTCAGTCAACATTTTAACTGACCGTAATTACAAAAGAAAAAGTGTGTACTTCCAATAAGTTTTGGGAAAGCCCTCCCCTCCAACGCGCCAATAAAATAAAAATGTGCCAACGTCAACGTAGGTACAATATCCCGGGCCCGCAGGCGAATACACGACGCCATGACTCTTCCAACGACAGGGGAAACAGCCGTGTGCGCGCGCACGAGCCACATGCTCCCGAAAAGCAACATATCCAGGAGTTGGTCGTCTCCGAAGACGACGACGACGACTCCGATGGCGACGCTAGTTCAAACGCATACGGGACTCAACGCGAATGGTCGGAAATTGTGGGTGCACGTAGCGCGTGGACGGCTGTAACGGCAACAACGAGAAATAAGCGCCATCGGGCGGCGCTCGGGGGGGCACACGCGACACACCACAACGACCTGGACGGCTAGCGGGCTAGAGGCCAAGCTGAGGCGATGAGGCGCATTCTGTCGGCGGTTCCCGATCTCTGTTTCCTTTCCCTGCTTGGCGCTTTCGTCGCCAGGACACAGGGGGCATTAACCAGCAGCAAAAATTTCAGAAAATTATCACCGTCGGCGCTACTGTCATCAATATGGTTTGTTGAGCAGGGCAGCACCAGCACCAACGAGGAGTCGCTGCTGGAGCCGTGGCTGCTGCTCAGCAAAAGCGCTCTCCCGCGTCCGTACGACAGTGCGCTGTTTGCCCGCATGCAACGGGGGGCTACGCCACGCGCGCTTTCTTACCTCGTTTCTTGTTGTATACGTTGTTATATAAAGTGCCTCCCCGACGACGACGTGGTTGGCCTCACTCTGCTGCACGTACTTTATAGTAGGGCTGTTCCTGTACCCTTCTTTTTTCAACACTCCGGACAGCGTTGAGGACTTCTCGAGTTCTTGGGGTTCTCCTTCGCTTATACGTGCCTACGTGGTATATTATGTACCTTATCCCCCGTCCCCGTCGTCGATGTCCGTGTGTGTTGGCGTGGAGGAAATAAATTCTGTGAAACCTATGCCCGCTATTTCTCTCCTCTTCTAACGCATCTTTTGTCTTTTTCGCTCTTTAGGTTCACTCGTTCACTGGCACCAACACGGCAACACTTGCCACTGTATAGCAAAATAGCACACACACGTATTTACACACATGTATATATGAACTTGCGATATTATTCTATGCCTGTCGAAATTGTCGCAAACTCGCATAAGGTAAAGTAGGGTATCTATATTACTAGCTGTGTTGGTGTGTATATTCGACCCACGGTCGGCCACGGTCGAGTCGACAGTCTCGACACTTACGACTTATGACGTTATGAGTACTTGACAGTCCCAAATCCCCCAATTGAGGTGTTGCTCAAACAATAGTAAAGTGCACAAAAATCGCTTTTTTTAGTAATATATTGATATTGGTAGTTTTCATACACTGTACGGTATCACCGACGACTTGTTTTGCCTACTACTTAATCAAAAGTGCTTCAGAAAAATATCGAAAAAAAAAAAACCCATTTTACAGGTTTCGCCCGTTCCAAGAGGACAATTCCACAATGGGGCTTATTCCTCCGCAAGGGGATGTTTTTCTAATTTTAGTTGTTTAAAACGGGCTTTTGGGTACATATCGGACTCCGTTATGCCACACTACTTACATGCTTGTTTTTTGCGTACCTATTTAATTTTCGTACTGTTTTTTATAACTGACTATACGACAACACGGCATATATATATAGACCAAGAGCTGAGGCCTGAGGGTGGTCGGAAATCTAAACCAGCCGCCATTCTCACTAGATTTGAGGAATCCCATGACTCGGGAAGATCTGAAATATTTCGTCATACTTTATTCTGGTAGGGAGTTAAGTATATGTGGTCATGACGATCGAAAATACTTGATATTGTATGTTATCACTAGTGGTTTGTTATGATGTGACTTGTATTCAAGATTTTTTATGACAACATAGATGTATATTCCGACTTTACTTTAGACCACTAAGAAAGATGACACTTTTTTTAATCGTATAAATTTGCTTTGCGAAATCATCTTTTACAATCAGCTCTAACCAGTTTTATGTCTGGGAAATGTGTAGGGTATGAGTAGTCTTGGTTTTCTTTGTTCAAGAAATATGTTTTTCAAAACTGTCACGTTTAGTAAAGTTTTTATTGTTTTCGTGTTTAAGTACATAAAAATTTTAATTATTTTTCATAAGAAGTAGTTCGTTGAAGAAAAGATTAAGAATGATAAATCATTGATGCTAAATAAAAATATAAATTCCGCAAAAATATTACCAAACTCTTGAACGATAATGATTTTATCTATTTCAATTTTATTAGAAGTAATTCATAAATACGCGAAGAGTCTACTTTTGTTAATAAAAAAATATACATGAATCTGTTGCGACTTATACATATACTTATCTCTTTGATTTGTGGTATGACACATTATTTACTACTGACGAGAAAAAAAATGTTTGATTCGAAGTAATTGATTTATAATTAAGCTATAGGTTTTATTTCTTAATGAGATGTCTACTAACACTAACTATAATAAAGGTTTGAAATTGTTAAAAATTAATTTCAATCTGTGGTATTAAATCAAACGAAAAATTGTCTTAGAAGTTAAGTTGATCATAGTTCTTGCAAATCAATATTTTCCTTGACAAGTCGTTTCTTTAGGCAAAATTCTTTGGACTCATTTTCTTTCACAGAATCAACTCTTGCCCTTTTTCCATAACCATTCAAAGTCTTTCTACATGATTTTTCAGTTTCAGCCTCAATCACTGGACTCACTCTAATTCTTTTTCCACAGCCATTCAAAGTCTCGTTGCATAATTCTTCAGCTTTATTTTCTATTTGTGGCTCATTTTCTGAACAAGATCCTTTAGCTTCATTTTCTATTACTTTTTCTTTCTCATGAGCATTTGGAGTTTCCAAACAAAATAATCTGTCTTCAGTTTCTGGTACAATGACTTTATTATAACCATTCAAAGTTTCTGTGCACAGAGTTTCAGCCTCAGCTTCTATTACAGGATCACTTTCTTTTCTGGAATTGGTCAAAGCCTCTATGCAAGATTTTTCAATCTGAGCGTTTTCTATATTTACTGTATTTTTAGAATCATTCAAAGCCTCTGCACAAGATTTTTCAGTCTCAGCTTCTCCTACATCTACTGTATTTGTAGAATCATTCAAAGCCTCTGCACAAGATTTTTCAGTCTGAGCTTCTCCTACATCTACTGTATTTTTAGAATCATTTAAAGACTCTGCACAAGATTTTTGAGTTTCAGTTTCTATTCCCAATTGATTTCCAGAACCATTTGAAGTCCCTGTGTAAGATTTTTTGGTTTGAGCTCTTACCTCCAGGACCACTGCATTTTCAGAATCATTCAATGTTACTGACAAGGATTTTTTGGTTTCAGCTTCTAATCCCAGGACTACTGCTTTATCAGAATCATTAAAAGTTTCTGTGCAAGATTTTTCGGTTTCAGCTTTTATCGCTGGGCATACTTGATTTTTGGAATCATTATTTAGAGTCTCCTCACAAGATGTCTGGTTTTCAGTTTTTTTTATCAGATCCACTTGGTTTCCAGAGTCATTTGAAGAAGACACTTCAGTTTTAACTTCTGTTATTAGGCTTTCTTTTTTAACAGATTCATCCACAGTTTGCGTGCAATTTGTTGTGTTGTCTATATATTTTCCACAAGTCTTTAAAGTTTTATTTTGTACAGTAGGTATTTCAAGGGATGATAGTATACTATTGATTTGGCTTTCGCTGATACTTTCACTATGACTTGCTATCAAAAAACAACAAATTGAAATTAATAGTAAATTAAAACACTAGATAATAATCAAATTATAACGGACATACCAGATTCTAGATTCGAGTTAATATCAAACGTTCCATCAGGATTTCTCGGGTGGGTATGAATTAAGTATAATCCTCTACACTTCATGCACTTGACCTTCATCGTACTCGCAAGGCCATAAACTACTTCACAGCTTCTGTTTTTCAGTGACAAAGGTTTGTCACACCTTTTACACCATAATTCCTTACCCAAAAAGATTAAATCCACTATACGCCGTGGCTCATAAATCTAAACATAAAATCAAAGAAAGTTAAATTTTCAACACAATCATGAGACACATACTATAGTTGAAACAAATGTTAACGTTTTTCAATAGCAATAAAATGAATCGGCACAAAGTTTAATTGATTGTTTGTACTAACATGACCACAGTACTTACGAAAGGAGTTGTTCGTTTTTCAACTTGTACTTGAGTGAGAGCGGCTAAGACATTCTCTCCTGCAACGACTTTTTTAGCCTTTGCAAAACGTCCCTTACGTTTTCCTCTTAGATGTCTGATGTGATGTTGCGGCATGTCTGTCATTGTGGTGTTTTTTGATCTTCATTTACTGCAGATAGTGTAGATAACATGCACGTGCGATTGGAAAGTGGAGCGGGAATTGAGGTTATATTATCAGTAATATCAGTGGTTGCACTTGCGCATTAGTATATATANCATATATACATATACGCGTTATATCGGCATATAGCTTGCAACTGCAATATCATACGTGTATATGTATGCGAGAGAGCTTTCGGATGCAGTGCTGGAGCAGCAGCAGCTGAAACCAGGAGAAGAGAAATGTTATAAGAGGAGGAGAAGGGGAGGGGGTAGGGGGAAATTAGGCAATTATGCTGCGAGAAGGTCGCCTAAACCCTCCTCGAGGAGCATTGCGTGGTGAAAAAGCACATGTGAAAAATCACAGAGGTACTTGCCCGAAAAAGTCGTACTATGGCCGGGAATTGAACCACGGTCTCCCGCGTCTCAATCCACGACCTAGCCGACTGAGCCACCGCGCGCTCAAATATATATACATATATAAAACGGAAGCCGCGGTCACGACATATGCATACATGAAAACGCTAAACGCATAAGCGGCATAAGCACACACTAGTACAACAGTACAAGCATACAAAAATACCATATAATTATTAAACCATATAAATAAAATATTTATACTGTTAGAGGTCGATTCTTGGGTAAAAGATAAATTTTAAACTAGCCGCAAACAGAACACAAATTGTCAACTTTCAATTTTGTATCTATAACATTAGTTGCGGCTGGTTTATAATTTATTTTATGGCTCTACTGTAAGAAAGTAATAATTATTTGGATCAGCGCCATCTAGCGTTGCGGATTTCTGAACTAAAAAGTGGCCCTAAACTTCTGAACCACAGCTGTAGCGCTTAGAGCCATTTAATCAACTATAAACCAGCCGCAACTCATGATGAAGCTATAAAATGAAAAAATAACGATACGTGTGTTTTTGGCGGCAAGTTAACAATTTATCTTATGCTCAAAAATTTATCTTCAAAAGTATAAATACATAGAAGGTCGATTTTTTAATAAAAAATAAATTGTTAACTTGCCGCCAAAAACACATGTATCGTTATTTTTTTATTTTATAGCTTTATCATAAGTTGCGGCTGGTTTACGATTGACTAAGTAGCTCCAATCCTGATTGCTCTGACTCAGAATTTTAGGAGCCACTTATGGCCAAAAAATTAAGACCGCTAGATGGCGCTGATCCAAATAATTATTGCTATTTCCTGTAAAGTCACTTTATTAATTATAAACCAGCCGCAAATAATCTTATAAATAGACAATAAATAGTTGACATTTTTTATGCTACTTGCGGCAAGTTTACAATCTATCTTTTATCAAAAAATCGACCTCTACAAGTATAAATATTCTACTTATCTTATATGGCTTATAAAATCTACCATATTTACAAAATTACAATACTTTGGACCTTTTACCATTTACTCATGGAAGCACAGCCCTTCAACTTTATAGTTTAAATAAACGATTAATTTATATAATACGTACATACCAAGATTTGTGTTACAGAAATCTTGAACAATGATTAAATAGATACGTAAATTAATCAGTCAAAAGAGACAACTGAATAAATAAGGCCTTAAGAAGAAGCACAGTCACATGAAGAGTTTACGTTACTACAGTGAATTTATACGAAATATTGTCTTTGATATTTTTACAAACATTACAATTATTTTATGGAAAATCCTACATTTAAAGATATGAAACGTATGAGATACACAGTTTGAAGTACTGAATATTATTTAAATAGTTTTTCTACATTACGCTGAGTCAGAAAAGCTGGAAAATTTTGAAGAACTTCCTTCATATTTGCGACAATATTTCTATGGGCTATACGTTTGGATGTAGGATTGAAAAAAAATTTCGCGATATACTTGACCTCAGACTACTAATCTGTCAAATTGAAGCATCCAAGGATAAATAGAACGACCGTATAAAAGTATTTATCGTGCTCAATTTAAAAGTATTAAATTGACTTAATTAAGAAGTATTTTATAATTTTGCCAAAGTGCAAGAAATTCCTTTTCCCAAAATCAACGATGTTTTATGAACGTATTGATTTGGTATACATAGATCGATGAAAATAAATTATTTAGTTTTTTTAGTTTTTTTTTTTTTGATACCATAGTGGGTAACTTTGGAGATGACTCGTGAAATTTTTTGCGATGAAAAAAAAAAATTACATTCAAGGTATCAGCGTCAACTGTGTGTCTTAGAAAGTCCCAATGGACTTTAGATATGCTTTTAATGCTTGGCAACTTGTAGAATATGTGACATACTTAAGAATTAAAAATCGTAATGACACGCATTTAAACTTTAAAAAATCTTTTAAGTTTTAATGTATGTTTTTAACTTTATTTCTCGTGAAATATACTAAATTAGTGTATCCATTTTTTTCTGATTCATCTTATTTTTTTGTAGCTTGTAAATATGATTTTTGAACAAATTAAAAAATCGATTTGTGCCTTGTNTTCAGTATTATATACAAGTAACATAATTTTGCGTATTTGTAAAAGCATGTTTATTTTAATTGTATTTCAATTTTCTCCAGCACATGATGGTTGGAAAGAGTGGAATGAAAAATATTATTGCGCAATAGTGTGCGGAAATTAGGTGTTTTCCGCACTATTTTTAGTGTGGAAAATCGATATCCCCGCATAGTGTGCGGCAAAGGTTTTTCCACACACCGAAAAAAATTTTGCTCCGCACCAGAAATCTCTCGGAAAACGAATTTATATTTTTGTTTTATACCAACTGCTATTAGTATATTTATAAAGCAAAACTTAACTTTTTTGATATCCATGTAATCCGTAAGTACACTATTTGTCACGATTACATTATATTATATATTGTAATACTCTCACGAATATTATGTGAATAGATAATTTTTAATGATAAATGTTTGTTGATATTTAAAAATAACAGCGTATTAAAAATCCTGTACATACACATAATCAAACTACTTGCAGATAATACTTTAGCATTACTGATCTGATCCTGGTTGGGTCCTGACAAAATAGCTGGAGGTCCGATACATAGTACCGATCAGTTAACTGGACAGTGTTTGATCGCATCCTAAAGTAATTTTCCATTCTGGCAGTTAGTATTATAAAATTGTTAAAGCAATTTGTGTGTGTCCTGTGATTATGACCCTCGTGTCGCTCTTTCCGGATGACCATATACTTATTCGTACTACTGCGACGATCACCTCTATTTCCCACATTCGTTGCCCAATGCCTTTCTTTTCTCATTTTTGCATTAAACAATGAGACGTAATTTATTGGTATCTGAATAGTAAAACTATTCAGGCGCCCAACACGACGTAATTAAATGAATCAACGGCACCATAAAAATACACCCGCACAAAAAGTGTTTGCCACAACGGTGTATACATCTAAAAAAAGTAGTCGAAGTTTACCACCAGATCGTTTGACTACGTGGCTCCGTTGAATAATTACGACACGCAAATTCATAAACTTTAATCACCTACAAAGCTTGCGCTAACAGCTTCACCAAAAAAGAAAGGTATATTTATTTATACACTTATATGTATCGAAATCTTATTCGCGAGCCACGAAGCTATCACACACGCCCACCCTGTCTTTCATTATTTTGTGGACCGCCGTACGGCATATTTCGTACGGTTGGGTCGCGAATAAATTTTCGGGCAGTGTAAAACGCATTATATACATATACAAGTAAAAAGTAGGTACGTACGAGTGCAGCTGCGAAGAGAGTACAAATAAGTATACGCCGAAAAAGTAGCAAAACCGGCGAAGGCTATGTGTTGTGTGGTGGTGACGACCCCGGGTATAGGTATACCTAGTACCCAACAGAGGTGAAGGTGGCATATATACACATACGCATACATGCACGCCCAGCCGCACATAAATTATTTAAAGCCGGCAGTTGGGCCAAAAGGAGGGAAAATCTCGTGCGCGCGGAAGCTTAAGAAAAGAAACGGAGGAGAGGGGGGGGGGGCTATTGTTTTTCATTAAGAAAAGCAACGCCACGTTATAAATATACGCAGGCGACCCCCCTCCCTTTCCTTCTCTTCACAGTGGGTAAATATATATATACTCACCCGCGTAATATCCTTAGCGCCATCGGCTCCTTCTTCCTCCGTATTCTTCCCTCGTATATATACTGTTTCCGACGATACTTTGCGCTCCCCCCCCCCAATAACTTTTCCGAAGCTGTACGTACGTGTGTATATATAAATGTGTACAAAAGTGTAGTGCGCCATCAGCGTTAACCAACCCCCTGCTTGTCGGGAAAACTCTTTGAAGGGGTCTCGTGCCTCCCAATTCTCATATGTACGTATATACTTACGTGTACCTGCACTCGTGTGGTAATAACAGTGGACCTACACTGCAATTGAGCCCTTAACTTCCCAGCTCGTGTCTGACAGTCGTACAATGTATTATATACACATGTACGGAAGATAAGTGAAAGGGCCGTGATGTATCATTGTGCGGCTGAACGAGTGTAATGGACATGGTGCGACTGAAGAATAACGAGGGGGGAGGGGGGGGGAAAGAAGAGCGAACGCGTGTTTAATAAAAGGCGGATGATGGAGATCCACGAGTGCATCTTTTCGAGGGATCGCTGCCACGCGGTACTTGACTGCTGTAATTTGGGAATAAGTAACTTTTTTCTAGTACTTATAATGTACTTGTAGCTGTCGTTTCTTTGCAGGTGAATAACCGTTTATCTTGGCTGCGAAGAAAATAAAAAAATAAAAATAAACAAAAATATTGTATTGCATTGATCAAAAAAATTTTTTAAAAGTTTTTTATTCAATGTATTTTATTTATCTTTATATTTAATTTAGAGTTGCTTGACACAGCACGGTGGAGTCACCTCCAAGTGCGCAAAAATTGGAAAAAAAATATCTCATTTTCTCAGGATTAAAATTTTTTATTTTAATAGTACAAGTCTGTAATACAAGATAGTGGCCATATGATGAACGTATGATGTACTACGTCTAAGTAACAATTTTCAGACATTTCATAACAAAATAAATTTGTACCAACGTCATTTTTGGTATATATGTCATGAAATAATAA